TGCTAAGCGCATTATGAAGCGATAACTTCCCGGGATTCTTCACAACAGTGAAACTGAAACATTAATCATGCTCTGTGATACCAGGTTTCTCGATATTCAACTAACTTGTCGTCATCAAGCATGGAGCACTGGATGCATAAAATATCTTTTTGTCGACAAAGGCGTAAACCAAATAAGAGACTAGACAGTGGATCACAAATGAACCCACTGGTAGAACCAGATATGATATCACATGTTTCTGAATGATGGGTTGAAGGTAGTTGAATTGATAACTTCTGAGTGAATTTCAATCGGCTTCAATTTAGCTGCTTTATTTTGAGCCTGGTGTGGTTTTAAAGTGCACCCGATGTGGTACGAAGAGACGAACATCGTAAATAAGAATTTTCTCTCGTCAAAATTTTATATCAGTGACAGTGTAATAATACTGTTGCGGTAAATAATTCCCCAAGATTATTAACCACAGCAATCATCACTCGACATTGGATGCTGACCATCACTGTTTAAGTCGACTTGTTTAGCTAAAGGCTTACGGTCAAGCATCCCCGCCATTTGGTGCTCCGTCGTGTCACGTGCGTGCACGATTACTAGCTAGCTAAGCATTCACCTCTACCCGCGATTTTGTCCCGAAATATACTACGTACTTTGGACGACAAAATCTGGTCTTTTGCTTTACCATTTGGTACTCGAAGAACGAACACTATAGAAGTTGTTGGTATAAGATCTTGCGTTAGTATAATCCGTACAACTCGCGAACGTCGATACCGTCAATCACCAAACTGGTGAGCCCAATCACGAACTACATCTTCAATTCACACGCAGATATACCCGGTGAGTTCTTTCATTTTTGTGTTTATTCTTGTACTATATTGTTATCGGCATACATTTCGTCATGAGTGACCCTAGCCCCAAGGTTATTCGGATTCGCTCAACCGCCGAAACATTCCAGCTAGTACCATATTGGCCAGATAATGCTGAAACGTGGTTTCAGATTGCTGAATCTGATTTTTGTGAACATGGCATAACCGATCAACGTTCACAGTTCCTTGCAGTTATTCACGCCCTACCGCGGCAATTCAGCAGGTGCGTAACTCTGCAGATGTCGGTAAGTAACTCGTACGAGTTGCTAAAAGCATCCATCCTCAAGAGAAACGTTCTCACAGATCGACAACGTCTGGATGAGTTATTTCGTAACATTGAGTTAGGAGATCAGTCAGCCGTGGGCATACTGGCAAGAATGAAAGAGATCATTGGCCAAAGTCAGTTCGACGGAGGACTGTTCAGCGAACTATTTTTATCCAAACTGCAACAGTCAGTTCAGACTGTACTTGTGACACTTCAGGGTGTTCTCATGGATGACTTAGCTGTCTCTGCAGATAGAATTCTAGAGATAACTAAATGGCCAGTTACCGAAGTATACTCAGTTAGTGAACAGACTTCGAGGAAGGATTCTGCAATGATAGAGTTATGCAACTCCGTCCAGCAGATGCTTAGGTCAAACAAGCCTAGCAATTCTTCCTATCGTCGTTCTAAATCCCCTCAACGACTAAACGCACGTGGACGATCTAAGTCCAACACACGTTCTCTGAAAAATCCTGACTGGTGTTGGTACCACAACACGTATGGCAAGGAAGCGAAATGTTGTCGAAAAACTTGTGATTTCGGCAAAGCCTCCAAATCTGTGGGAAACTATCCCGCCGGCACGCGTTAGCGTCAACCGTCGCCGGTGGCACTAGCCGCTTACTTTACATCCATGATGTAATGAGCCAGACTAGATATCTAGTCGACACAGGCGCCGAAGTCAGCGTCCTTCCTGCTACATCAGCAGATCGACAGAAGGATCCTAACTTCAACCTACAGGCTGCAAATGGAAAACCAATTGCAACCTATGGTCGGAAATACGTCTATCTGAACGAAGGTTTACGCAAACCTATTCAGTGGATTTTCCTAATCGCTGACGTCACAATGCCCATCGTTGGCACGGACCTACTTAATCATCATGATTTGCCCGTAGACGTCCGCCGTAAACGACTAATTGACAACACTACTAGTTTGTCTATCAAAGGCATAACTTACGTAGGCCCCGGCTTGTCAATCGTGAAGATGAAAGCAATCCTCGATCCAACTTTTCAACCGATTGTTGACAAATACCCGGAACTCAATTGCCCATCTAACGATCTCCCGTGCATAACCAGCAATGTTATGCACCACATCATAACCTCAGGACAGCCCGTGACATCTAAAGCACGACGACTGGCCCCTGACAAACTGAGAATTGCAAGAAATGAATTCGATCATATGCTCACCCTTGGCATCATTCGGCCATCGAATAGTCCATGGGCATCCCCATTGCATATGGTACCGAAAAAGGATAGTAACGATTGGCGACCCACTGGTGATTACCGGCGAGTGAACGCCAAAACAACTCCTGATTGCTACCCTTTGCCTCACATACACGACTTGACGGCAACGTTATCTGGAGCATCTATATTCTCCAAAATCGACTTGGTTTAAGCATATAACCAAATCCCCATGGCAACGGAAGATATTCCGAAAACGGCTATCATCACGCCATTCGGACTTTTTGAATTCCTACGTATGCCATTCGGCCTCCGGAATGCGGCCCAAACATTCCAACGCTTCATCGATGAAGTATTTCGCGGTTTCGACTTTGTATACGCATACTTAGACGACTGCCTCATTGCCAGTCCAGATAAGGAAACTCACCTTAGACACTTGGACTTGGCATTTGACAGGCTACGCCAACATGGTGTTACCATCAATATACAGAAGTGTCAAATAAGCGTTGACTCACTCGATTTTCTGGGTCACACTATTGACTGTCAGGGCATTCGCCCACTGGCTACTTCGGTCGATCACTCTGAGAAAACGCGTTCTGGACGTCACGTTAGATTCCCAGAATACCTTCACACCTATTTCACATAACTGAGTGACACATCCATTTTTTTGTTGCATCATTTAACACAAGTAAATGATATTTTTCCTATAACCGTACATAAAATTAAATTAGATGTATATTTTTTCCCGATATTTTGAACTTTACATTATTTTAGTGTATAGTAGATGCATGTCATTTTTTTGGTAAAAAACGATTATTTGGTACATTTTTCTTAACAAGGTTCTCAGCATTCTTGTTTTCTTTTCCAGGTGCAACGAGCACTGGACAGGAAACAAACGAAGCACGGGATCCAACGAACAATATCGAGGAAGCTACGTATAGACACCCTATTAGCATAGGCAAACAGACCAGCAGGCTCTCCATCAAGCCGCTTGGAAGATTTTTTTCACCAATCAGGGAACCATCGAGATGTTTTACTTCCGGCTGGTCATGTCTTAGGGTCCTCACAAACCCACTAGGGGGGGAGTGAGCTGTAGCGGGAAATAATTCCCCAAAATTATTAACCACAGCGATCATCACTCAACATTGTATGCTGGCCATCACTGTTTAAGTCGACTTGTTTAGCTGAAGGCTTACGGTCAAGCATCCTCGCCATTGTGCGTCGGTGGCACAGTGGTTAGGACTTTCGCCGACCATGCACATGGTCCTGGGTTCGATCCCCTGCCGGCGCACACCCGATATCTATGGTCGGCCTGAATTTGGGCTATCGATATCCATGCTGAAAATTCCACACTTGTACTGAAAATACGGTGTGGAATCAAGCTGTAAATCAAAAAAAAATTTGGTGCTCCGTCGTGTCACGTGCGTGCACGATTACTAGCTAGCTAAGCATTCACCTCTACCCGCGATTTTGTCCCGAAATATACTACGTACTTTGGACGACAAAATCTGGTCTTTTGCTTTACCATTTGGTACTCGAAGAACGAACACTATAGAAGTTGTTGGTATAAGATCTTGCGTTAGTATAATCCGTACAACTCGCGAACGTCGATACCCGCAGTCTCTAAACTGGTGAGCCCAACCACCAAAATACTGATGATTTGTTGGTTCAACACTTATACCTATCACGGATTATTTATGCCCCCCCCCTCAGACTGTGCAAAAACAGATGGATTCGTGTTGATGGAAACAATCTTGTTTGCAATATGAAAATGCGGCATATATAAATATTATCAATTTCAGTGGCTTAAACTAACAAATAATCAGTTGTATAGATTGTATATCGTGCTTTTAGGTTACCTAAAGACAATGTGATAAGTTTCCTGCCCTGGGGAAAATAGATGCCAGTCTTCTTTCCCTTTATCCGATTCCAGCCGCCTTGTATCACACACAGAATATAGCTAAATGCTAGACGAATATCTTTCACTTCTAATAGATTGAACTGTTGTCCCTAATTTTTTCATAGCAGATTCTTGATGGACATCACAAGCATGCATCTGAATCAGGGAATAATATTTAGAATATCGTACTGGATAAGCTGCTCGAGGGGCTGTACTCGTGCTACCAATATCCTTCCATTTAAATTCACCACTTTTCTACCTTTTTGTCACATGTCTTTCTCCTCCCGCTTCACATTTATTTCCTCCTTCCTATCTGTCATATCTCCTATTTGTTCCGTTCATATATTTTCTTCTAACGTCTTAACACAGCGTTTTCCAAGGTCTTTTAAAATTATCTACAGGATTGTGTGGTGACCATTACAAGTTTCTGCAGTACAAATAACCGTGAACAATAATAACACTTCTATCAGTGTAAACCGACGCACTTATACTTGTTGGGTTCGGCACAGAAAGGACCTCCCAGATAACAAGAGGCTTCTAGAAGCTGGTCATAATAGCTTTGATATTTGGTCGTAAATCTAATAGGTTACACTTGCTGTAAGTTAGAACAAACTGTGTGATGCAAATAATTCAAGATTTTTGATATAGCATTAAAATAAGGAGCATTTAGTCACCTACAATTTTCGGTTTTTGACAATGTTGTGTTTGAATGCAGCACCGCCAAATTTAGGTGACTTTTGTTTCCACTTGAAACTGGGACTGTTGGTATCGTTTCAAAGGGGGTTTTAATCCTGTGGGTTTATGCCTGTTTCCGAAGTATGTGTGTGATTGGTTTTTAATGAAACTTATGGCTGTTTAAAACTTTTATCATGTATTTTTTTGTATTTCATGTGATGGGAAATATTCAGAGATCTCTTGGAAGTTGAAGGTCAACTGATTGAAGCCAGTGTCCCAGCTAGCATTGACTTTAGGCGCACTGCAGAATCTTTGCGGCAGATTGCAGATCACTGTCCTGCGTTCTGTAGTGCACTCGAAGGAAATGCTAGCTGGGGTTCACTGCGTTTTGCTTATAATGATGCAGTGTAAAATTAATGCCGAAACAGTAGTTCAAGGCCATTCTTCCGCATTACTCACTATCTCATGACTGTTGATTTCCTTATTACTTCCACAGTTTCCTTACTACGTGTGATTTTCTCTCATTGCCTGCATTATATACAGTCGTTTACCGAGGCGCTCATCGCAGTGTTAGCGCATATCGCGCATGTGTCGATATGCGAAATCCTGCCTTATGAACTAAACCCTATCTTATCTTCATAACATATTAACGGCAAAGGATTTCAAACCTGAATTGTCAAAGGATGCTATAATCCAGAGTCATATAAGTTTTTTTCGATGTAACAATGGCAAGTCAGTCAACTTTACATTCATTTCTTATTCATACAGATAAAAATCATATGGTATATAACTGCGTTTCCTTGTAAATATTTCCTTTCTCACTGGTATCTTAATCTGCATGTAGATAAAGTGATTTATTACCTTTAACTAAGTTATGCTAATGGTTGTACTAGCTAAGTATATCGACTTGTATTATAGATGGTGTGTTGTATTCAGCAATATGACTGTCTTGTTCTATGACGTAACTGGTGATAAGAAATAACGCTACTGGTACAACCACTGACACCTCAGCAAATAGCAAGGCTCTTATCTGAATTAAGAAGTTGAGCATAAAATGCTTCACGCGAGTGCGTAAATATTTCTTAAGTTAAGCAGTGGGTATTTTCTATCCCGGTTGAGGTCTACTTTGGTCTCAGAAAATGATTGTGTTAAGGGGTTACAGGATTCCATCATGAGCTGACATCGGTTATAAAACCATTGGAAAACCTGGAAGTACTGGACAGCAGTTTCGTGCCAGTTTGGGACTGTGCCCACCCACCGGGGTTCGAACTCGGGACCTTCTGGTTACAAGGCGAGCTCGTAGACCATGGATTCCTAGTATTCAAGGGCCGTATACACGTGTCCCAGACTTTATGAATTGGTGTTTTGATTTCATCTGGCTACTCCTACCTCCCAGTGTTATGTCAGCTAAGATTGCCTACCAGGGAATTCAGAGGCTGGGTACGTGCAAAGCATGTCTCAACCATATCAATCAATGTAGCCGTACAACCTCATCTGTTGATTTGCCTTCCCTACCTAACACTACGCCGATCCTCATTACCAATGACCATACTTTTCTGCGTAACAGATTGAGTGCAGTTACCTATGGCCAAAAACCACTAATCTTCCACCTTCAATGACCATGTCTATCAGCCTTAAGGAACAGGTAGTAAACTGCTTCACGGTACAGGTGTTCTTTGTTAAATAGCCGGATATCATGCTTCGGGTCAAAGATATCTCAATTTGGCGTTTTGTATCCGTGCTGATTTCGCTGACAATCAGTCAATTAGTGCTATCGCAAATCCCTAAGTTGCATCCAATAATTTTACTCCTTGTTGCTTAAACTAGGAGTTGGTGTAGACCAGTTCTGTCTCACAATCATACCGATACGAAATTCTTGTGTCTTTCTTCCCGTAGGATTGGCTTCCTGTGTGCAGATCTCTGTCTCAGTGCTCTCATGTATTCATAAATCATGTACTATTTCACTTTGCTTTGACTAAATATGAATCATCCTTTCACTCCCAGGTGAACATCCGTGTCAAGTTTTGCTCTGATTTCCACATCTGATTGGCCTATGACTATCTAATTATTCATTATTTTCGGGGGAATTTTTTTAGCACTAGGTGAAGGCAATATCTGAACAACAGAGAGCATTGGAGTTCAAAAAAGTTTTCCTACTTGTCTGCTACAAACATATTAATTAGTATTTTTTTACATTGTTATTTAAAATCCGTATTACATCTCAGCTTTGTTAGGTTCAACAGCAAAAGGTAGGCAGCTTATATATTGTATAGGACAGTGAACTGTTGTGCAGTACACGTCCTTTAGTTGATAGCTAGTCCTAGACCTCGACATGGATACAAAAGGCTTGTGCGATATTCTCCGACTTGCGTCATCACTGGTGTAGATGTGATGTCCAGCTATCGGTCAGACGACATTTGGACTGAGCAGCTGTAACCCCTGTCATCCTTTCATTGAAGTAGAATACATAAAAAGGTCAGCTTTAACCACAGATGTGTGCGTTATATCTCCTGTATTAAGTAGTTTAGTATGGTGAGTAGTATTGAGGTTAGGCGTAGTGTTAGGTAAGGTGGACAAGTCAGTCAATGAGGCTGTGAAGCTACGTCGACTGAGATAGCATGACAAGCCTCTAACTTCCTTGTCGAGCAATGCTATCTGTCCCAGGGTTAGGTTCTAGAAGAGTTAGGAGTGGTCAAACCAAACACCACTTGACACCAACCCATGAAGTCTTTGACAAGTGGTTTGAGCTACGTAGGGAGATATAGACTGCCTGGTTACGATCCTAAGAATGTTAGGGACCAATAGCTTGAGACTGTCGATGAAATGGCTGAAAATTCATTCTGAATGGTGCGGATGCATTCACTCTTAGTGATCTCCCATATCCATCAAACCTTCATGTTTTTCCTTGTTACTATTCTTTCTACTTCACGTTTCGGCTTATTATAGTTTTCTGAATATCCGTTTTCTCTACGTTTGTTTTTTATATGGAGTGTAGAAAATTGAACTGGTTTTGTGTTGAGACTCAGTCAGTTGTGTAAAACTACATATTTTGGACTGGGTCAAACTGTGTACAGAAATAAACTAATTCAGAAATTAATATATGTGTAAAACTTTGGCACTGTGGTAGTAAGTAATTCCGTATTAGTTTTTTTATTAGATGTGTCACACAGTGGTGAAACGTTATTATTTACTGGATGACAATGTTTCGAACAAAATTTATTGCTGTTCATAATCATATCATCAATTATAATCACACGGCTTCGAAACTTGAGTTTCATAGTCTTCTTTGTCGTCTCCTATTTGTCGTAGGGGTAGTAGAATTTTCCAGATATCTGGGACAGGTGTTGAATCATTCCTATTACATGTATTTGTGGTTGATTAGATAAATAAAGCTTCCGTTATCAATCTCTCCCTCCACCCTGTGTCATAAGATTTTAAAACTGTCATCCTATCACATCTTATGGTGTGGTTGTGTGTGACTGCACGTAGTGCTATACCTGAACTATTCTCTAGATTTCTTATCTTATTACAGTCAACTAATATAGATTTTGCTAGGTTTTTATGTTCGGCTATGTTCAGTTCTTATGTTCCAGTAAATAATACTGTTTCACTGTGTGATACATCTGATAAACAAACTAATATGGAACTAATTCAGAAATGTCTGGAGCAAACTGGTCATGATTCTAAAGTGAAACTGGTGATTATATATATATATATAATACCTGTAGAGGGAGCGTACGAGTTTATTGTCCAGTATTAGAAATCAGTCGCCGGGGACAGATTTCCCATGTACCAGGCTGAGTCAACCTCACTTAGTTTCCTAGCTTGCTAGTCTTCTAGCTGGTCCCAAGCCTGTGAAAAGAGGGAGTGTTGGGCGTGGGGCTAGCGACCCTACCCTGGAAAATCAATCAAACTGCTAAGGAAACTTCAATACACAAGAAATATATTTATAATACAAAAAATTCAAATAAAAATCGAAGAGACGAAATGAAGCCAGCAGGTGAAAGCCTTCGAGAAGCCAGTGAATTGATGCGTCTTCTTTCGATGAAAACAAAGTAAGAATGGGGACGTGGAATGTCCGTACAATGTACGAGGCTGGGAAGACTACCCAGGTAGGTAACCAAAGAAATGAGAAATGACAGTCCAAGAGTCACAATTCTTCAATGAGGGCTAATGCTACTTCCCAATTACGCAGGCTGAAGTGGGTGGGCGGGTAAAAGTACTCTGGACCCACTGACCTGAAGTCAATTTGTTAAGCCAGTGTGCCACATCTCACTATGAGTTAATCACTAGTTCGCTTAGTAGAGATCACTATATCTATTTTGCATTACTAGATGCACTACTGTAATGGAGTGGTAAAAACCTTTAGGTTATGCCTAATTGTATTGGTAATTTTAATGCTGACAGAAGGTTTGCTTATTTTCGTTTCATATTTTAACAAATAAGGAATAATTTTCAGTTATCATATTTATTTCCTTCAAGGCAAAATGTTTCTGTTTTTAATTATACAGAATTATATGAATTGTTGAAGTTACCTGTAACTGCCGTTTGAAAATGCATTTCGTTGATATTTTAAAATGTTGGGAAGAGTGCAAGTCATCAGAGAATTATGATAGTCTGCCGTCAGTTATTAATGTAAGTCTTGAATGTGTAAGATTTCCAAGGTGATATTACTGTTTCTACCCATTTCACTCCTAATTAATTTTACGTAGTTTTTTAAAAACAAAACACAACTATACTTGTCCGATTTTAGGCATAAGCAAATAACATTCTGTTTATTTAGGAGTACATACGTCGGTGGTATAGCGGTTAGGACGCTCGCCGACCATGCACATGGTCCAGGGTTCGATCCCAGGCCAACGCACTCCTTTACCTCGCTAAGTCAGAAATAATGCTGGTAAAAAGGAAAGGTTGGGCATGAGGCTAGCAACCCCATCCTGTAAAATAAACACTGCTACGGAAACTTCAAGTCACTAGCTTGAAGCCCTATGTTACACTGGAGAACGTGAAGGAAAAAAACGTCGGCGGTCAAGGAGTAAAGTACCCGCCAACCACTCACGTGGTCTGGAATTTGATTCCCTGCTAATCCACTGCTAAACATCACCTAGCCCGGTAGTAAGTCCGGAAAAGAGGGATGATCGGGTGTGAAGTGGTTAGCAATCTTATTGTATAAAACCAACACAAGCGCTACTGAAACTTAAAAGCTGAGAAAGTTTGAAGCTCTATGTTCCACTCGAAATGCAAAAAAAGAATGAAAGAAATGAATGCACTATAGCTTTATTTAGTGTAGGGGATAGAGAATTGCATGCAATTCTCTATGTTAGTTATTAAGTATGTACGGTTAGAGGCTATGGATCTTTTAGTATTGATAAAGTATTGTCCTTAATAAAGCACAGTTGGCTGAAAGTATCTATATAATGACAATCACGACAATTACTGAGATGTATTTTATACATTTCTACTCAGACAGGTTTTAGACTTTTATCAACAACAACTGTCTTCTCTGGCTCCATACTGAAGATCAGATGGCTGGCCAGAGAGGATTAACAACAAGGAACTCTGAGAAGCAACCAACCAAAAACCTATCGCCCAACAAATATGTAGAAGAAAATGGACATGTATTGGACACAAGCTGAAGAGACTATTGAGTAACATCACGATCCAGACCCTTGAGTGAAACCTAAATGGTAAACGATAATGTTGGGCGTCCAAACGTGACATAGAGGAGATCATGTGAAGAGGAGATGAGAGCTTACAAGCAATCGTCAAGCCAGCTAAAGAGGACAGGATGAAATGGAGATGCGCTCTTCTAGGAAACTAATTAGTTAGGCTGCTTGAACGATTTCGAGCTCGCTTCCAGTTGGTTTCGACTAGAAATAACGCTCACGATCGATGTGTGACCGATCATCTATCCTGCTAGACGTGAGCTTTGGCCACACTACCTGCTGACTATTTAACCTGGTCCACCTCACCTGTTGGCTAGACTGTTCTTAACACTGCCTCAACTAGCGAAGGGAGAATATAACACTGACGATGATTTGAAGAGAGTATAGAGATACACAGTCACATCACAACGAAGTCGCTGAGCTCTTGTCCTACGAAAATCCACACAGATAAACAAACTGATGCTTGACGGTGAGATTGCTGAGCTTCGATTCGTTTGACCAACACTGTCAAAGCCTTATGTGCTTACACCCGGAACCTAAGGGAGTAATAATTATAATAATACATCCATTGACTGACTGACTGACTGGTTTCAACATAGAACTTTGCATCGATGTGCAGCAGTTCGAGTCGCCACACTCCCTCTTTGTAGCACACAAAGCAAGAGAAGAAAGTAGAAGAAATGCAAAATAGAGACAGTAAACAGCGATATAAGACAAAAGGAATAGTAATAACGAGGAACAATATAGTTCTATTGGGTATTATAAGTCACAAGGAGTGGATGCATCTGCGACACTGCGGACGATTTTGAGTCATTTCACCAATTGTCTCCAGCCTTCATTGGTGTTTACCGTCCCGAGGACCTCAACCAGGAAGTCTACACCTTCCTACGTGGCTTAAACTAACTGTTGTGGATTTCATTGACTGATGAAGCCGTGTTTTGGTATGACTGCAGCTAGCGCTTTTCCGGCCTGACCCTATGTCGGCTAACACTGTCCATCGAGGAAGGCGATGGATGGCTAGGCGTGCGTAACGCATGTCATAATCATTTCAGCCTCGTCTGTTGATTTCCCCTCCTTACCTAGCTCGCGACCGAGGCCTAACCGCAGTATTGCTTGCCGTGTTATGCCACTTCACAATGGAGATAGAATACAGGAAGCTATGATCAAAGACAGCTAGCCTGTCTTTTCATGTCTTCCACTCTCAATGGCCATGTCTCACTCACAGTGATAAAGGAGGACAGAGAATACTGCTTCTGAGCAGTACACACGTCCTTTGATCGACAACCAGCCGGATATCACGTCTACACTAGAGACGGCGTAAACTGGCACAGTGCCCAAGTTTTATACTTATATCTATAATACATATTCAAACAGTATTGTTATAATGATACAGATTTTTAAAAATGCTTACTGCACTTTTTGTGAATTACTTTAAAAGTGATTGTTAATTACCACTCTTTCTTCTTTTTTCTTGTGTGTTTGTGTATATGTGTGGGGCTACATTAACTTGTTCTTAATAGGCGTATATACAGTCTTCAAATCATCGTATAGACATCACATCTGCAGATGATGTAAAATCTTTGAATTCTTTAATAGCCGCTGGTTTCTGTGATGAATATTCTGAAGCTATACAAGATTCTATTCTGGATCTTATTATGTTCTTCGGTAAGTCGTCTTATAAATATGTCTAGGTACATTCACATATTTTAGGAAAACATATACAAACACGTTATCAACTGTTAACCTATTTCTCTATATTGAAACCATTAATCTATGGTGTCATCTCTGATTCCACGGAATACAATAAACTTAAGGTAGGTATGCTATATACACATATCTAATTTATAACTTAATTTCTATCAAAGCTACTCAAAGCACTGCAGCTATATACTGAAGATTTACACAATCTTGATGTCCACATTGAACCGATTCTATTCTCTCGTGCACTTAATCACATTATTCGCATAATCCATTCCAATGATGATCATCTTGAATCAGCTTTGGGTATTCTAGCCAATTTATCGCATTTTTCAAATCTTGTAAAACAAACACTAACAAAAAAGGTAAAGAAATATGTACAATTTCCTTAACGTAGTTTTGTATTATTGTAATAGGAAGACTTTGAAGCCCTACGTAATTGTCTACTACGTATCATCAGTTCGGATCAAGTAAGCCGGTCTGCTTTAGTTTTCTCTGTTGCTGTTCGATTCCATCTATGGAATTCAGCGGATAAGGTAAGTCGTCTGATGATGGATGAAATGCACACAAAGGGTTTCATGTTTTTTTGATGCATATTCGATTTTCGTGTAACAAACACCTTGTTCTTGCTTTATTGTGAATGTAGCTTTGACTATTCTAGTTAGTTCATGTATAATCCCCATCCAGGTATTAATGAAAACAAAACACGTAGATCAGCGTCGAATTCATTTTCTTAGCTGTACAATCGCAAATATATATATATGTGTTATTTTGTATGTATGTGTACATTAAGTTTGTCCAGCAAAAATACAGTTGGTTATGGTTATTTTAACTAAACAGGTGAAAATTGGTAATTGGAGTTACGTAATACAAAATCAGTCAAAAAAAATTAGGTGTTAGTGAAATTACGGTGTTAACAAAGGTGATGAGTTGTCACAAACAGTTGTTAAAAGAAGTTATGTAATAATATGAATGGTTTGATGAGTGAGTTTTACTTAGGATGCACATAGGAACAAAGTAGATAATACGGAATTACGTAAGGGTTCTAAATGAATACAAGAATTATAAGCAATTAAAGAACAGGCGAAGAAACAAAATTAAGTCCCCAAAATCAAAAAAATCAAATCAAAAAAGTTGTTACCAAGACAGTAGAATTGGTTGAGTAATCCTCTTTTGTATGCACAGCTCCGGTTTTTCTATGTGAATGGCCAGAGCTTCAGCGAAACAAAGAAGACGAAACCGTATTGCCTTTGATAGGTTATTCTTGACTCTGTAGATTACTTTGAAGCAGGAGGCGTTTGTTGTTGAAATGGAATGATCAGTGTTAACCAGGTGTTCAATTATCGCACTCCTTAATGAACCACTGTCGCCTTTTCGCAACCATGCTGGATAGTGTTCTAGTTAGTAAGCTTTTAACTAGTGATCTGAGTATATTAGAAACATGTCAGTTTGTAGAGATTTACACATTTAAAATAGAAGGCATCCGGGGAATAGTTACTCTTTTCGGCGATATCATTCTCAAGCTGTACAATCGTATGTACGTAATATTTATATAAATATATATATATATATGTATTACTAAATTGTCTCAGCAGCAAAAGGAATATTTCCAAAGATGTGTCAGAATTGCAACAGTTTTACACAACAAACTGGGTAATGTAGGAAGCTTTAGTCGGGTAGAAACTAAAAAAAATTAAATAAATAAGTTAAGTGATGTAATATAATTGACAGGGTTGAGTGGAATTCAATGAGGAGGGAGTGGGGGAGGAAAATGATACAATTAAGAATCCAAAAATAAAAGTTACGTATCCATTGTTAGGACAAATCAGGTCCATTGTAGATTTAACGACTGAACACATGCGTCTTTTGTATACAGAGTTCAAGATTTAACATGTGATGAATTGCCGCCATTGCTTCTGCGGTTTGAAGAAGCTTGATTCGTACGTATTCTGTAGGTAACTTTGAGGTTCTTTTGTAGGTTAGCTTGGTGTCGAGATTCGATCAGGTGTTCCAGGTTAGGGCTGCGGGGGGATCTTTATTCTCGTTTCTAAAACTATCAGGGTAAGTGTGTGATGATACGTTTGGATAGCAAACGCTGAGTACGGCCGACATACGAGGTATTCACCTCTTACTTTCTTCTCTTGCTTTGTGTGGTACATGAAGGGAGTGTGGCAACTTTAACTGCTGCACATCGGTGCAAAGTTCTATGTTGAAACCAGCCAGTCAGTCAGTAATATAAACTAATTAAAGGGACCTGATTTATTTTCTCACTCTAGGAAAAAAAACTGCAGAAGGTTAGTAAGATTAGGGATAGTAGTAGGAGTCGAAGAAGGCCTATTGAAAGTATATGATGAATTGCTTATTTCAGTTTGCCACGACTGTTTACAGTCTTTATAACCCATTCCATACCTTCCAAAATAAATAGACAATAAGAATGGATAAAATTTCAAGGATTAAATATAATACTCACAAGTAGACAAAATAGTGTAACAAAAATTTTAGTTTAACATAAAGATGTACAATGAAGAATAATTTTAAGAAAAATTAAAAAGACGGTTGCAGTAAAAAACAACTTTCTTTTCAACGAAGTCATCAGCTAGCCAGGCTGGCTAGCAAAGGGAGGATGCAAGGGTGTACATAGCTCAGTAATAGAACATCTAGCGAACTCAAGACATTCAGCTTCTTCAAAACGATCCTATCAAACCTCTCTAAGGGAGTACGATCAGGGCGTTTGGGGATTGCTGAGGCACTAGCGATCTAAAAGTTCGAGCTCACACTGTGTATTCAAAAGAAACACGTCCAACTGTTGTCCCTACCATGGTTCATCATAAAAGGACAATCCTCTCAATACCTTTCGTAACCAATCTTCCCGTTTATTTCTGTTATTTTTACTCTTTTTTAAATCCCTATCCACATTACTGTGTTTTTTATCCGAACTTCCTGCCTATTTTATTATTACTGCCTTGGTAATCCCTAATTGCACAAAGTCAAGTTGTTCAGTAATTATGATCCTACTATGTCATTTTAGTCAATCTTCCGGTTTATTACACTTTGTGATTTTATTAATTTGACCTTTGGTCGGAAATAATTCTGGAATTTTGTCACCCAGTTACCATAAACACACGAATGTGCAGCGTAGTTGATTACTTCGTCGGAAAGAAAATTGTCTTTGCTGCAACCGTCTTTTTAATAATTTCTTTGATCTAATGTGTATATTGCGTGCCATGAATACATTGTGATCGGACGACCTGATTGACCAAACCTCGGTAGGTAGGTAGGTAGGTAGGGCGGAATTCGTCGAATAAGTGACCCACTGTTTCGTAGTCTAGCAACCAGACATCTAGTAAAAGGTACAGCATTTCAATGCATTTTAAAAACCTTTATTCAACTTCAAGAAATACCCAACAATGTTCGTATTTTCTATGATATCTTCAAAATCAACATCAGTTGTCGTCGATATTATCACTAATTGTTACTTGATTTCATCCAGTAGTCTAATCTGGAATAAAAAAATACTGTACTACGAACTGATGTTCGTTGGCGGTTCAGTGGTAGAATGCTCGCGGCAACCACGCCTCACGTAGTCTGAGTACTATTCCGGCGAATTGATTGGTTAAATGAATTTTCATTTCTGTTTTTTTCTCTTTTAATACACCAACCAGTTCTTTGAAGGTTTAAACGCTCACAGAACACTTCAAGTGTTATTCAATGTCCTGCTCAATGGAGATGTCAGTATGTGTGGATTATGCGCTGGAGAACTTCTTGCTGATTTATCCTGTGCAGAACCTCAATTTTTCACCTCTGTATTAGTCAGGTAAGTTAACATTTTATGACAGGTGTATACACTCCTCGACGGAATACGCATATCTCTATATATTGATGTAACTGCGATAGGTACTTTCTTTCTTTAGTGAAACAAAAAAGCCTGGAAAGTTCATTGTAAGCACAACTCTTCCACCTCTCCCTCAATTAAACATATGTCTATAATTTACTTTATATCTGGTTTGATAAGAGGCACATCTACAAACTACTGTTATAATTACAGATCTTCGTCTTATGCTCTGGAGTTTCAGTAGTGACAAGGTTGTTTTTTGTTATGGGATGGGTTGCTAGGCCCATACCCAAGTTCTCCCCTTTTATACTCTTAGGACCGTCTAGTATACCGGAGTGGGTTTGAATTAGTTCTGATTGTGTCAAGTGATTAGACTCAGTCGTCAGCATACCTTGGACTTAGGTTTCATACTTATTTGCGCTCACCAATCAGACGTATCAGCAACCTTGAGGATTCGAAATCGCCTCACCAGTGGGTTCTTCAGGCTATTAAAGCCTTGCCGAGACAGGAATCTGAGTAGCTGGGTCCTGTAATCGGGAGTGGTGGTAGCCACTAAGAGGAGAGGTGGCAAAGATAGGACATTGGGTAAATATACAGAAGACAAAGGTGATGAAGATACTCAACAAACACCAGTCACCATTGGCTGGAGAAATCTGGATCTTTGAACAACGAAAGAAGAAACATTTGCGCTCAGAATAATCTGGATCCATTTTATTTCGTTGGCTCTCATCAGCTGCGTACAACCTGAATTTTTTTTAAATTAAAAATAAAAAGTGTACAATTTTAACAAACCTTTGTCCATTAGCAAGCATAGTGTCAGAGCGTCATAGTAAAATAAGGCATTGAGATTTACAGGGTGTCTAAAGTGTCACGACATATATATATCTTGGTAGAGAGAAGTTTCTTGAAAAAATTAGTTAACAGTTGTGTTGTTAGGGTGGTAACAAAAGACAATTAGCAATAGTTACGTAATTAGATAAGAGAAGATCAAAATTTTAACATTACGGTGCACATGAGGTCAGATGAGAAGTTGATGATGTAATACAGTGAGCAGAACTCAGAAAATCAAGAAAAATTATCTCTTAAGAGAGTCAAGCGAAACATAAAGGGGGGGGTGGAGTGAAGAAAACAAAGAGTTACTAAGAAGTGAGTTACCAGGGTAATTGAAGTTCAACAACGGATTCTTTTTGGACACATGAGTCAGGCTTCAATCGTTTTATTGCTATAGCTTCAGCAAACCTGAGAAGACTTAAGGTACTTTGTCTGTCAATTATCTTGAATGATTCCAGCATATCTACTCGGTGTCCTGTGTCAATCAGATATTTGGCGATTGAAGAGCTTAAATAATTCGGTCCCTTTAACTGGAGGCTCCTTGGTACATGTTCGCAGAATCTGACGTAGGCCCTCCTCTCTGTTCTTCCAATGTAACTTCTCCCGCAGATACATGTGAATTGGTATACACAGTTGGATCTAGTAGTCTTTCGTTTACCTGGACAGCATGCTGTCAACTACAGGCGGCGGCGCAGATGAGGATGTCAAAGCCAGTAGGGTTCGGATTGGGAAAGCAGGATATGCATTCATCACTGTGAAATCGCTGTGGAGATAGAGTACTTAGCACAAAAAACAAGGTCCGATTTTCTAATACTTATATCAAGTCAGTGCTTCTACATGGTTCAGAGACTTGATATGCGCGTGTCGTTGAAAGCACCTTTAACAGACTGCTACAAACTTTCACTGACAACTGTCTCCTCTGTTGTTTCCATACTGAAAATCAGATGGTTGTCAGAAAGGGTGAACAATGAGGAGCTCTGGCGGTAATCTAACCAAGAGTCTATTACCCACCAAATATGTGGGAGAAGATAGAGATGGGTTGACTTTCAAGTGACACGTCACACGTCAGGCCATCAAGTAAGACACGGATGCGAAGTAACGAGTTGGATTTCCTATGGTGACACGGTAAAGATCGTGTAAAGAGGAAATAAAAGCCTGTGGTGGACAGTCATCGAGGTAACTGAAAATGGATGACATAGAACGGAGTACAATGGAGATGTATCGGTGAAGCTTTATGTTCCTTTTGGAATCCAATGAATGAATAATGATTGAGAGAGAGAGAGCACGTTTGAAGATTTATGAGTTACCTAAGTCTTTATCATTGGCACTAAATCCATTCACATCCACTCACATTACAGACTAACCACCAACTGTTACGGATTGAAATTAGGCTCTTTTTCTTGAAGAAAAAGAAGAAGAAATACAAATCAATTTCTCTTTGTACGATTTATGTAAACTTGGAATCACACTGGAAGAACAACAAGAGATTGTTAGCTTGTATGTTCATTCATTTTTTCCATTTTATTCCTTTACTCTCCGAGAGGAACATAGGGCTTAAAGCTAGAGCTTTAAAGTTTCTGTGGCAGTGGTTTTATTTTTGCAAGGTGGGGTTGCTAGCCTCACACTCAACCTTGTTTTTTTCCCGGCTCTACTACCGGCTCAGTGAGGTTATAGGAGTGCTTTGGCCGAGGATCGAATCCTGGACCACATGCGTGGGTGGCCAGCGTGTTCTACCGCTGAACCACCGACACTAGCTTGTATTCAACAAACTCTAATACACTAACCTTTTTAACTCTGGTGAGCATCAGGAATGAGGTTAACATCGATCCTGAGCTCAGATATTTATTTTTTATTTTTATTTTTGATTACAGCTTGACGCCACATCGTATTTTCAGTACAAGTATGGCATTTTCAGCATGGATATCGGTAGCCCAAATTTTGCAGGCCGACCATAGATATCGGGTGTGCGTCGGCGGGGGATCGAACCCTGAACCATGTGCATGGTCGGCGAGAGTCCTAACCACTGTGCCACCGAGCTAAGATACCAGTTGCATATATGTAAATATCACTATTGTCTTGCGTCCTTAGTGGAACATAGAGCTTCTGCAACACATCTCCATTTTACCCTGTTCTCTTCAATCCTTTTCAACTGGCGCCACAATTACCCATAAACTTTCATCTCCTGCTCACATGATCTCCTCCATGTCGTTTCTCAATTGCGTTCCACCCTAGGACCTGGGACATGACGTCGTCTCTCATTGGTCTCTTTAGCGTATTTCCAATCGATTTTTTCATTTCCCTCGCTATATTTGTCAGGCGATAGGTTCTCGGTTGGCTCGTTACTTACCAGATTTCCTTATTGCCAATCCTTTCTAGCTGACCATCTTATTGATCTACAGTATCGAGCCAGTAAAGTCAAGTGTTATAGTGGGGGGGAGGTGGTGTTGTAGCCCGTTGCAAATGCTTTTGGTGACGTGTCAAGCCTCTGAACCATTTAGAAGCACGAACTTAGCGTTAGAGTTGAAAATTTGAATCTTGTTCTCCTTATGCTGAGTGCAATCGATTTCTACACTGATTTCAGATTAATGAAGGTCTATTTTGACTGTCCGATACTGTCTGGCTTTGTTATGTGTCTAACAAACCGAGTAGTAGCACTAAGTATCACAAGAAAAGACCTAAATGATGAAATGAAACAGATAGAAGAAGCGTTGGTGTCAAATAACTATCCTATAAAATTCATTAGGAAGATCAGAAAAGGTCAAAAGCAAAATGAAAATAATGGTGAAACTAGTAGTGACAACATAAATAAGAGAGAATATAAGGCATCTACAGTTTTACCATTTAAGGGGGGACATCTGAGACCCTTCGTAGGATTCCTAATAAAGCAGGAATTAGGGTGGCATTCAAACCTACAAACTCACTAAGATAGGACGAGCTGTGTAGGTTAAATGACCCGGTTGATCCAATTAGACACAATAATATAATTTACAAAATACCTTGCAATGACTGTGATTGAGGTCAACTACATAGGTCAAACTAGTAGGTCAGGGGTAGTCAGACTGTCAAAACATAAGAATTTAGCTAAGGCAAGAATGGTTGACCTCACCCTCGAAGATAAGTAATTTAGAAAAAGCTCAGCAATCGCACTGCATGCATTAACACACAACCACACAGTAGGGTGTGAGAGGGTTAAAATTCTAAAGAGTAATATAGGTAGTTGGAGATAGAGAGAGAGAGGTTGATTACTGAATCCTTGTTCATCGAGTCTACACCCAACACATGCAATAGGAATGACTCATCACCCATACTGGAAATATGGAGAATACTAATACCAATCAAGTCAAGCGATGAAAAATAATGGAATTATACAAACGAAGTTAGAAAGTTGTGTGAGTACCTTGATAATGGGATTATGAGCAGTAATAAATTGTGCTCAAAATAGGGTCATCAGTAAATATTACTGTATAATAACACTGTGTGACTTTATCAAGATAAATTTTCCCCACAATGGAATTATACTCTGCCACAGTGTGCAAGTTTCTATTCTTATATCAATGGCTTTGATATTCTCATCCTTGCAACCTGTAACTGAAAAGATGCTGTCTAGATAAGTGGCGATTGGCGCTTCTTGTTGTTGTTGCTGGTTAGATATCTTCATCACCTCTGCCTTCTCTATGCCCACTTGAAGTTCCGTCTTCTCTACCTGCCTTTCCTGTCCGCTTTCTGGTTTTCGCCTGTAAACCTTTGAGTTTGTGCTGTATTAGACATAAATCACCTGCGAAGTCCAAGTATTCTAAAGTCTTCTTGTCTTCTTGCTCCCTCATGGGTCTATTGCCTGATCCAGTCTACCACAGTTAAGGATACCATGAGATATATTAGGTAGCCTCATCTAGCTCCTGCCATCACTTCAAAGGCTTTCTTTGTAAATCATCCTATTATTGTTGAAAGGATCATAATAGAATTACGGTTACCTCCGTCTTCGATTATTAAATTAATTAATTAAATTCTTAAACTATCCATATTTTGTGCACTACAACCGATCTCCAACATGTAATGTTGTATATGGTAAGTCGAATTACATTCCTACGTGGTTATTTCGCATTTTTAACATCTACCCTGTGTTGTTCTCTGTTTTGTTTATTCCAGTTTTCCATCTCACAAAAACTTCATAAAAGAGGTTGTCTCCCAGTTAAGAGCAAAAGATTCATCACTTTTACTAAAGGTCAGTTTAGCAAATATATGTATATATATGTATACACTGGGATAATATTCTTTTCTGAAATCTATTATTTATTTATTAAGGATGTGATCATGTTCTAAAGTCACTGAGTACTCGAAAGAACTGTCAGTAGGTTTTAATAACTCCTGGATGGTCATTTTACGCGTTTGGAGTGCAGTTCATTATCATCATCAACAATGTATGTAATTTGTCTCAGCCGAGAGAACCGGACCAGTTCATCTCATCCATGCCATTATAGCAGGAATTCTTGATTGCCATTTGTTGTTTTTCAAGCAGATCACATATTATGATCTGTGCATATTTCAGGTGCCCCATGTCGCGAGCTATTAACAATAAATACCCATCGAGGGTTATATCAATATAACAGGTTGCCTTTTGGTATCAAGACGGCTCCAGCAATTGATGGACACGATGTTGGTTGGTATTCCCGGAGGTGCTACGTATTTGTACGATATTCTTATAGTCGCAGCTACTCCAGAGGAGTTAAGACAAAGAGTGAGACTGGTGCTTCAGAAGCTCGACGACAGTGGACTACGGCTAAGAGCAGAAAAATGTCAGTTCTTCCTCACTTCTGTAAAGTACTTGGGTTTTATCTTCGATGAAAATGGACGACGGCCTGACCCAGACAACATTTGGGCAATCAAGCAGATGCCAGCTCCGAAAGATGTGTCTACGCTCCGCTCTTTCTTGGGAATGATTAGCTACTATTCAGCTTTCTTGCCACCATTACACAACATCCGCGAACCACTCAACCGCCTGTTACAAAAAGATCATCAGTGGGTCTGGTCCACAGAGTGTGATGAAGCTGTAAAAAAGTTGAAGAGTCTCCTCAGCTCAGAATTGTTACTAACACACTGCGATCCGAAACTCCCCATCCTAGTCGCAGCTGATGCCTCAGCTACTGGAGTTGGTGCAGTTCTACTGCATGAGTTTCCTGACGGAACACAGAAGACTGTTGTAGAGACAGTAAAAGCTCGCGTATCAACGTCCAGTCTTCTTTCTTTGTCTTCCGTGCCCGGCGTTATTATTATTATTATTGTTGACGTGCGATAAGGACAGATTAGCCAGCGCATTAAGTTAGATTCGTTCGTAGTCTACAAGGTCATAATATTCATACATAACACTCCATTTGAAGAGACTGTGGTGAATTTACTCCATAGATATGAGTATTGGCACTACGATCGGGAATTAATTCCATAATTCCTTTCTGGATCTATTTTTCGTAGATTTCCGAAACTCAAACATTATTTGCCCCTGGGGCGACTACGATTATATTTCTGCTTTGTCATGACGGTTTCATCGATGTGAACAACAACAGGCATTCCTCCCAGCAACTGCGTGATGGTATTCATGTCCGCGCATGCTATATCTCTTCAATGGTGGTACCATTGCGCAGTGGATAATAACGAATTCTCCATCTCTACAACCATTGATCTCATCTCAGTCTTTAATACACCCAATAATGGCGGCTAAAAATTACATTTGTCAGTGGCAGCTCTGATTTAGAAACAAAAATGAACTGAGTGTGTAACTTGCCATTTCGAACACTGATTCGTCTCAATCACCGTGTACACCTCAATACATATCCATCAGTTGCTTCTGAGCACCACTGGATGGCACACAAAAGCACTACACAAGCACATTTACGACTACTTCACATCAAAACTAGCTACGGATGGAATTTGCACCGCATCGCAATTCGCTGTAATAATTGTAGGTGCTGTTATCCAACGACTAGTAAGCGTTCAAGGTCGTTAGTGTGTTCGCACTCCTCAAACACCATACTCTGCAGCTTGGCCTGAATGTTTTTCTATGACATATCTCTTGAATATCACTAACCTATTATTATTGAATTTAAAATATGTTTATTGTAAATCGCCTAAAATAATAATTAGTGAATTAACTAATTACTTTATTCAAAGTATTATAAAAGCAGAATTCACAAAGTCTCGGCCTATGTATAACAACTTACTCATGGTTCTTCAACATGAGGTAATTTTCATGTTGTCAAGTTGATCAATCGGTAAAGATAAAAAAACCTTTGTGTCAATTGTTGCATTTGATAAGCGTATAAAATTATCGAAACAAAATGTGTTTACATAATCAAATTGCTCATGACATTCATGTTGATTTTGTCACTTTATGGGTGGTAGTGGTGGTGGGTGTGGGAACTAGGTCAAATTCTTGTTATTAGAGGGCTAGAGGCAATCAGCAGAAAGCCTTCGACTTAGATTTCGTGCTTGCTGGCACTCATCAGTCTGCAAGGCATATTTCCAACCTTGAAGGGACTCATACCATTCTGCGATTCGAACCAGCGTCACCCAGTGCTGCAGTCAGAGACGTTACCACTAAGCTATTCAGGCTCGCAATTGACCTCCTGTAGGACTGTATTGGATATTTTCGATTGCACACTAGTTAGTAGCTAGTGTAATGTGTCTAGTCCTATCTTCGCTGCAGACTGAATTCTATCAGTTAAACTTGCAATGTGGCCACCATGCTAGGTGGCTCGCCATTACGGTGCAGCGAAGATAGGACTAGACGCATTACGCTAATTACTATATGTATATAAAACCTCTGTTATGTTAATTTTGATTAATTTCCCTGAAGAAGTTCGGACCAGATTGCCGAACGAAACGTTGGAATTACTCATTTCAATATCGCTGGGATTTTACGAATATAATTTTTTACAAATGTCTACTTCTCACTCGGCGCCCAAATATTTTAGAACTATTCTGTCACATCTTGATGACAGTTCTTTTGAATATCAGAAGTAAACTTGCTTTGGACACATAAAAATTACTCTATTTTTTAAAACCTGTTAATCTGTATTTTCTTTTTGTTGTTTGTCTGTGTGTGTGTGTGTGTGTCTAGTTGATTAACCTGCTTCGTATACTTTTGGCAAATGCTGGTGACTCTGGTTTAGATGATTATATACGTAAATTATTTTTCCTTTCTGGTCAAGATCAAAAACCATCATCCTTGCATAATGATTTATATCAACCGAATGATTCCCTATTGACTCTATTCCAATTAGCCAGTGGAACAGATGATTTAACTGCTTCAGTTGCACTGGATTTACTCGATGAACTTGTAAAAATTGTAAGTTGTGATTATAATTTTTCCCCAGTTGTTGTCTTTGATTTTTATACTTAATGTAGTATATTACTATTATTATTATTTCCTTGGGTTCCGGGTGGAACACTGGACTTCAGCAACGCATCTCTGTTTCATCCTGTTCTCGGCAGTCTATTTTAGCTGGCTTCATGACTGCCCATAAGTTTCAAACTCCTGTCCCCACAATCTCTTTCATGTCACCCTCTAAGAGACGCCCAGCTCGTCGTTTCGTATACGGGTTCCACCCTAGGGCCTGGCTCGTGGTGTCACTCAGTAGTCTCCTCGGCATGTGCCCGGTCCATCTCCGTTTCTTTCAGTATGTTTGGTGGGCGATATGTTCTTGGTTGGTTCGTTTCTACACTTCTTTGTTGGTAATCCTCTCTGGTGCGCCATTTGATCTTCCGTATGGAACTAGCGGAGGGGCAGCTATTGATAAAAGTTTGCAAAAGACTATTGGAAATGCTTTTCGTGATGCACTGAGGCTTATGTGCCTGTGACACTGCAAAACATAAAGGGTCTATCCTATTCTTAATGTCACATTGCATAGATTCCAAAACCTTATGCCTAAATATTGCGGAGATGTAGCTCATTGCCGACTGTTGGGTCGTAGTCTGGTTGGTGAGAGCTGACTGCGAACAAGCCAAAATTGTAAACAACAGTTTGCGTCAGTGTTACGTCCGGAATCAGGGTCAAGAGAACAACGATAACGAAGCTTAACCTTGGGGAACTCACCAACCAATCACAGCGGACTTAACGTGTGCAAATAGGATTCGCAGATATAAGGCTTAACTTTCTGAGAAACGGTCTTAAGCAGTATAGAATAATATTCAGCAAGAAAACAGCTAATCAGAGGAAGTTGCTTCTCCGCTGACAATAATGTACTTAAAAATCAATAAATATCTCTTGATTTTATCAATAAACAATCTAGTTTCGCTTCTCACTTTACCCACTTTAACTTGGATAACTGCATAGTTATATCATCAGCTCTCAGGTAATAATGACGTTGTTCATAGCCGGATGCCCGCTATCTGAGTCGTAATTACTAACTAACTGCGTTGAATATTAATGCTTGATTATTATTAAAGTGTGTCCCATGTTCTCATGCACTTGACTTTCAACTGTCAGTTTCCGCTTACAAAACTTTTCCCCATTCGCTTCTGCATGGATAGCAGGACTTTGCACGATGTGGTTCACATCTTAGCGTAAGCAGGGTCTCAATGATACGTCTCTATTACAGTCACTTCTCTGCTAACAATTTTTCATCTAGCTCCTCGACTACCCATCATTCCCTCCCCACATGATCTTCCTCATGTTAACCACGGTCTCACCCAATCCGTTGCTTTCCATTCGGGATCCTCTTGGGAGTCTGGTGTGTGATGTTACCTGAACATCTCCTTAGTGTATTTTCACAAATCATCTGCATTTCCTTCTGCGTATTTCCTCGATGGTGATTCTCTGTGACAGTTCCCTTCTGACCAACTGTCTGATCTTCAGTATCTGGCGAAGACATCTGCTGTTGAAAGTCTGCGCTAAGTAGCGTGTTAGAAATGTTTTTACTGAGTCACCAACCCTGTGAATTATGTAGAAACACTCACTTGACTGACAGAAGTGTTGAAAATTCGGTTGGTGTTCCTTGTGATAAATACTGTTGATCTCTTCATTGATTTCAAAGTAATGCATATTTGTCTTGCTTTTCCCATCCTGATTGGCTATGCCATCCTGATCCATGTCGCCTCTAAATACACGTATGCATGCCATGATTACATGAATATGTAGCAACAGGTAGCCGGTTTGCTTCATTAGTTGTAGAGAAGGTATGTGGTTTTTCAGTTCAACCACCTGACTTTCAAATACCAGCTCATAGATTAAGATATCATCGCCTAAATTAATTAATTAATTAACTGAATTGTACACTTGATACATACTGAGCACCAAAAGATGTTCCGCACAATATGTCATAGTTTGTTCAGTGCCTGGGATACTGCCCAGATGTCCAGACCCGAGATAGGTTCTTGTTTTAAGGAGCCACCCCACCCCCTGAGCCTTTGACTTGAAGTCTATCTTATCCCCACAAAGTATTGGAGTAGTGTCAGGAGCTACATTCTTATGGTTTCCAGTGACCGAAACTGGTTCATCCACTATTCGATCCATATGGGTCCTGGAGCTCATGAATACCATAGGTTTCCCAGCTTCCTAGCCAGGTAGACTTTCATATCCCCCAGTCCGGTTGTAAGCGCTAGATGTTCGCCCTCACCGTTTCATTTCTGTGAAGAACATCGCCTACATATCACTGCTATCCATCTCAGACTGTAGCACCAATCTTCTTACACTTATTATTATTATTGTTCCCTTGGGTTCCCAGTGGAACATAGGGCTCCAACTGCACGTCTCCACTTGCTTTTGTCTTCTGCTGTACTTTTCACTTGCATCCATGTTAGTCCATACTGTTTCAACTCCTCTTCACACGATCTCCTCCATGTCACCCTTGCACTGACGTCCCACTCGCCACTTCCCTTTCGGGTTCCACTCGAGGGCCTGACCTCGCCTAGATTACTAGCTCGCTAGTTTTCTAGCCGGTCCCAAGCCCGGATGAAGAGGGAGGGTTGGGGCGTGGTGCTAGCAACTCCACCCCCAAAACTTAACCAAATTGCTACAGAAACTTCAACGCATAAATATATTAAAAATATTTAAAAATATCAACAATAACCTTATTTTTCGCTGGAATCGGGGAAGTGAAATGACGCAGGCTGGTGAAAGCCTTCGGGAAGCCAGTCAGCTGATGTGCCTTCTTTCGATGAAAGCGAAAATAAGGATGGGGACGTTCGTGCATTTAGTACGGTCTAATTGCACTTGTATTATTATTATTATTCACAGTCCAGTCCCCAGTTAGAGAAACACGTTGAAATTGGTGGCAACAATGTGCATCTTTTCATTTTGTAGTCATGTCAACCAGTTCTAGAGTACATCAGTCTGTTTACTCCAATCAACGTACCACTGCATTCTCGCTTCATATCAAAGAAACTTTGTAGTATTTGTGACGCTTCTAAGACGAACTTCGTCAGCTGCATTTCTCAAGCCTTGGGATGAATCATAATAGAATAATAGGGTTAGGATTTCTTCACGCCTTAATAGCTTAATTACTTTACATTCTATTAAAGTGATATGAGTTAGCTAAAGCTGAAAAAGCTTTCTTGTATTTTCTGAGATGTTCTTTAATACTGTGTCACGTTGTAGGACATTCAATTGGCAAGAAGAACTAAACGTAATATAACCTTTTAGTTCGAAATAAAATGTGCCATTGTTCTAAGTCATCTGTTGCATAGAATTTCATGACTTTTGGTTAACAAGTTGGTGGCAAACGAGTAGTGTTATTGGTAGTCACTTAGCGTATGTGGGTCATAATTCAGTGCTCAATACTCTACAGGATCGAGCAGAAAACTGAACTATAAAAACTTGTTTATGCGGGATTTGGCTGTTTGTCACACTTCAGCTGTAACACAGTTTAGGGAGTTACTCCATTAAAATTTATTCTTAATAAGATTTGAAGGTACTGGTTCGATCCCCGGTGAAGGTCATAGGACGAAATAGCTATCCTGTAAAAATTGGTTTTTGTTGGTTACCTCTCATAGGAGGATTACCTTGACTAATAAGGTATCTAAAGTTTTAGACTCAGTAGTTATGCGTAGACTATTTGGTACGCGAGAGAAAAACAAATGCAAGAAAACCAAGCAGGCTTTAGACCAGGAAGAGGGTGTATTAATTATATCTTCACCCTCCGACAGATACTGGAACATGAGCATATTTACGGGCATCCAAAAGTCGCCACATTTATTGACCTGAATGCGGAATTCCACTCCGTCGATCCAGAGGTAATACGGCTACGTTTGTCCGTGAAGAGAGTGCTGAGAAAATACATCGCACTTGTTACCATCAGGGAATCATCTCATTGACTTAAAATATGCGGATAATATAATTTCTCCTAGGTAAAGATACTTATAAAGTGCGGAGTCTTTTGACCACTTTGAGGAGCAATCCTGGAATGTTTGGCAAGCGATTCGCCCCCGCAAAATGTAAGCTGGTTTAGGATCAAATTGCACAGACTCTCGCTTAAAGATGGGGAGTAAAGTGGTAGGCCGTGTTGACCACTTCACTTATTTGGAAGTTTGCATCAACTCCAGCTGGGTGATCGCTGGCGAAATCTTAACACGGATATATGTGCGATATGCTAACCTGCTTCATCTTCGGCGTAGACGTGATGCCCAGCTGGCTATCAATCAAACGACGTGTGTACTACTCAGCAGTCCGCTCCATCCTCCTTTATGCCTGTGAGACATGGTCATTGAAAGTGAAAGACATGAAAAGGCTAGCTGTCTTTAATCATAGGTGTCTGTATTGTCTCCAGTGTTAGGTGGTATAATAGGATGAGAAATGTTGAGGTTGAGCGTTGTATCAGGCAGAGAGGGCAAGTTAGTCGTTGACGTTGTGAAGCTACATTGATTGAGATGACCAGAACATGTGTTATGCATGTCTAGCCATCGCCCTTCTCGATGGTCAGTGTTAGCTGACACAGGATTACATTGTGAAAGAACTAGTAGTTGTCAAACTAAAACATTGAATCAGTCAGTTAGTTTGAGCCAGCCACCTGGGGAGGTGTAGACTTCCTGACTGGTTAGGGTCCTCGGGATTGTAATAACCAATGGGTGGAGACGATTAGTGGCGCAGATGCATTTATTCTCCGTGATCTACCTTGCCGAAATTAATCTATTTCTTTTCTGTATTACTATTCTTCCTCCCTCACATTTATGCCTATAGTTGTGCCTCCAAATGTTGTATTATTTGTACTTTTACTGAATTACTTAGCTTGTATTATTTTGGCGAATTATTTAAAATTTATAATCTTACTTACTTGAATTTTAGCCCAATCAACAAGATTCTACTAGTGTCAGTATACCTCGCGACTTTTTATTCGTGAAAACTGTTGAAGCACTACGTAAAATTGGTGATTCTTCAGATTCACTGAAATCAAAAAGTGATTGTCATTGGAATCAACAGTCAATCTCAGGACGTATCTTTCGTACACAATTGTTACTTAGACATTTAAAACACCTGGTTAGCCTTTTCCAGGTTGATGCAACAACAGAGCCAACACTAAGCGTAACAGAATCTGATATTCTCTGTCAGATACCGGTTTTAAGCAACTTTTTATGTCAATTGGTGCATAATCATATGGACAGTAATCCACTTGTCGGAATTCTTTTAAACGATGAACACGAGAATCTACGTCTTGGTTGTTCGACAGTGCTGACGAATAAACTGGACGCTGATCTATGGTATGTGACCAAATTGTTTTCCTTTTATCTGTATCCTTTACGTTCCCCCAGTGGTGGCACAGCGGTTCGGGGTTCGATCCCCTGCCTGCCAACGCACACTTGATATCTATGGTCGGTCTGCAAATTTTGGGCTACCGATATCATCTTGAGCAGCAATCTTTGTATGTTTGGCATGCGATTCGCCCCTGTAAAATGTAAGATGCTGCTACAGGACTGACTGGACTACGTCAACTCCTAGCTTAGTGATAGGGAGTGAAGTGATAGAACACGTTGACCACTTCAACTATTTGGGAAGTTGTATCAGCCATCCCCAATGGGTTGATTGCTGACGAAATCTCAGCACGGATCCAAAAAGCTCGAGCTGCTTTCGCTAACTTACACCATCTCTGGCGTAGGCGTGACATCCGGCTATCAACCAAGGGACGTGTGTACTGCTCAACAGTTCGCTCCGTCCTTCTCTATGGCTCTGAAACATGGCCAATACGAGTTGAAGACATGAAAAGGTTGACTGCTTTTGATCATAGAAGTCTACGATCTCTTTCTCACGTTAGGTGCTTTAATAATAAGGTAAGTAATGTTGACGTTAGGCGTAGAGTGTTGGGCAAAGAGGGAAAATCAATCGACGAGGCTATAAAGTTACACAGATTGAGATGGCTAGGTCACGTGGTGCGCATGCCTAACCATCGCCTCCCCCGACGGAGGGGCATTACTAGCTGATATAGGTGCAGGTTGGAAAAGAGTAAGTGGTGGCCAAACAAAAACATGGCCTCATCAATCCATGAAGTCCTTGACAGTTAAACTGAGTCAGGTAGGGAGGGAGATGCAGACTTCCGGGTTGGGGCCCGCCCTCGGGACTCTAAGAATCAATGGTGGCTGGAGACAATAGGTGACATGGCTCAAAATCATTGTCAATGGCTTACGCAGATGTATTCAGTCTCTTTAACCTTCATACTCCTTTCTACCATTACTCATTCTGTTTCACTCTTATACTTGTCAAACCTCTATTGATTCTCTTCACTCATCTTCTTGTCTAGCTTTGTGTGGTATTTGGAACGTGGCAACTCGAACTGCTGCTCTTCGGTGCCAAGTTCTATGTTGAATCCAGAGAGAGAGAAACCGATATCATATGCTGAAAATTCCATACCTGTACCAAAAATACGGTGTAAAATCAAGCTGTAATCAAAAATAAATAAATAAAATAGGAGTGTGGACTTCAAGCTTAAGCTTAGAAGCTTCAGTAGCAATGGTTTTATTTCTTTTCTTACGTGGTGTTGTTACTAGTCAGCCTCACGCCCAACCTACCCTCTTTAGCGTAGTTATCACCAGATAAGTGAGGTGTCTAGGAATGAGTCGGCTGGGGATCGAACCCTCGAACACATGAATGGTTGGTGATAAACTTAACACTGCCTGATAATATTCACTGTGCCAAAGAAAAAGCTATTTATAAGTCTTGCATTCAAAGGTGACACCATTTCTGAATTGATTAAAAATCGTTTATCTAAATGCATTAAACGTACTTTTCCTGCAGCTGACTTGCAACTAGTTTTTACCAGTAGAAATATGATTAGACAATGCGTCAAGAATAGATTACCGTTTATGTTCACATCTATGTGCATTTACTCTTTTACCTGCTCTTGTGGAGCTGATTATATTGGACGTTGTAAGCGTAATCTCCGAAAACGTGTAACTGAACACTATCTAGTCTGGTTAATGAAAGACGAACGTAGAACTGAGAAGTCGTCTATCTGTGATCACCTGTTAGAGTCAGGTCATTCAGCCCCATGTGATTCATCCTTCAGGGTTATCTACATCGAATCGAATCGATCCAAAAGTTCACGTTTTCTTCACTTATGCATAGCCGAAGCTTTACCTATACATGAACAGAAACCTAAATTATGTGTTCAAAAACGTTTTGTCAAACCCCTTTCTTTACCTTGGTCATAGTAATGTTCTTTCTAGTTTCTACTTTATTTTGTATTTTACCACTTGAATTATTTCCACTTCACTTCACATCTTCATTCTTATCGTAATCGTACTCCTAATTTTTTTAAAATTTTTAGACAACATTTGAATTTTTTTGAAAATTTTGACATCAATTCACTCATAAAACAATCTTTAATAATTTTGTAATTCATCCACTTCAACTCTACCGCTTATAACATTTTAATTATCGTTATTCTTATCACTTATATATGTATATTGACTGAGCAATTATTTAGTGCCAATTAATAACCTTTTCTGTAATAATAAATACGACTGTACAGCTTGAAAATGAAGTCGTTGAAAAGAAATTTCTTCACTGAACAAAACAATACTGTGTTTTTACTTATGAATAAATGAATATTCACTTTAACTGGTGGTGATAGGCCTATTCTCTCATTCATATCCCGACCGATAACTGCTACCTTGCCGTGGTGGTCGGGCTTGAATGCCGCAGTGACCCAACAAGCTAAACTGGCTGAGACTCATGTCCCTGCAGGTCCTACCATGTCAGGAAGGTTGTTTGAATAGCGGTTAGACTAAAAGCAGTTACCATGGGATACATGGGCTCCAGAATTCAATCGGATCAAATGGTGTATGAACCCATATGGGTCACCGGCAACCATAGGAATGCAGCTGCTGACGCTGCTCCGCTGCCTTGCGGATTAGACTCTAATTCAAAGGCTCGGGGGGTGGTGGTCCCTTAAGAAAACCACCTGCTTCGGTCTGGGCGCCCGAGCAGTATCTCAGCCCTCACACAATATTGTGTGGCGCATCTTTCTTGGTGCCATATTGTACCAAGTTTTTCTGCGTTTAAATAAAATAAATCTCATCCACATATCTGCTTTTGTTTCTTTTTCAGCCTACTGTCGTGTGCATTGTCAGCTGAAGCATTAGGCCTATTATTTCAATGCACTGAATTATTATCATTATGCGCTCCGATTACATCACAAGACGATGAAGAAGTATCACTGACACAGAATACACCGGATAAATTAAAGCACACGGAAAGTAGTGATATCAAGTTTACACAGAATGTTGCTCGTCAATGTGGTCATGCTCTACAATCGCTTCTGGAACGACCTGAAACTCCAGGTTTATTAGCTTTATGCCTGACAACATCTAGTCCATTTTGTCAAAGTGATGGTATCATGGGAATGGGATTACAAACACGTGACGATGTCTTTCGACTGTTGAATGTTGCTCGTCATGTTGAAAAATTTGATAATGACCGGTAAGTGTATTGAGTGTAGTGTATTTGTAGTTTTTAATTGGTGGATGGTGACTAGCAGTGAAATCCAGGATGCGCGTTTCGTCCTATTTGGGACTCGTCATCTGGATGTACCTGAATTTCTCAGTGAGTGATGATGTTCCCACCGAGGCTCGAACCCAGTGCCCATTGTTTCAAACGCCAAAGCTTTATCCACTAGACCACTTGGGCCACGGGAGCCGCCTCTTGTGCAATAGGACGAAATGCGCATCCTGGATTCCACTGCTAGTCACCATCCACCAGTTAAATACTAATTAAATGCCCAGACATCGTCGAAGCATCTGCTCAATAAGCCGACATGTCAACCTGAGACTGAGCACTTCGATCCAATCAATCGATGGGAAAAATCTAAACTTCAATTATTTTAGTTTTGTTGGGAGATTCCTCCTTCCAGTAAATTTATTAATCACCTGACCAATGTCACATGTTAAGTGGTCCACAATGGAAAACAGCGAAACCTCTAAAGGGGAGACAGGACTTAGACAAGGCTACCTACTATCACCGATGACATTCATAATTGTGGTAGACTGGATTTCGCGGAAGACTATGTGCAGCGAGTAGACAGGAATATGTCACTTCTTTTGCATGGGTTAGAAGCTTGTCGCGTCGTGAAGAGCATTCCTAAAAGACTACTGCGAACTTTTATCAACAACTGGCTTCGCTGACTAAATGCTGAAGATTAGATAGCCGACCAGAAAGAATTAACAACAAGAAACTCTGGCTGGGAACAAACCAATCAAGAGCTCATTGCTCGACCAGGAAATATGCAGAATGAGAATGGAGATGGGTCGGATGCATGCTGAGGAGACCGTCGAGTGACATCGCCCACCAGCCCAGTGCTCGAGTGGAACTCGAATGGGAGACAATTAGTTGAACCTTGATCTCAGGGTGGTATGGAGGAGAACGTGTGAGGAGGAGGAAATGAAAGCCTTTGGGAAGACGTGGGGCCAGACGAAGAGGACTTCAGAGAGATGTGCTGTTGAAGCCCTATGTTCCACTCTGAACTCAAGGGAGTAATAAATATAAAAAAATATACAATCGAAATTATTCACAACTTGTTTCATGAATCTAGCCAGTCGTTTTACGTCTAAAAACTATTAAATGGTAGGATAAATACAAAGTTGTTGGACAAAATGCTTAAAGGACTAATTTTCAAGTACTGATGAAGAGTCCCAAACTGGGACGAAACAGCTGCCCAGTACTCTCTAACTGATGTTGGCTCATGACAAAATCCTCCATCCAACTGAAGGACTAATTATTGTCGAAAAGAGTACGGAAAGAGAAAAGATATGGTGTTGTATAAGAGGTAGAAGAGCTATTAATGTTTATTCTTATTATTACTATTATTGTGACTGACATTTACCTTTCAGCATAGAACTTCAAATAGCAGTGAAAAAGTTAAAGTTGCCACACTTCATGTACACCTCATAGTGCTCACTGTATTGTACTACTTGACACGTGAGACAGAACACAAACATATGTGGTTAGTGACAACTAGCCTTTTCATGTCTTCCACTTACAATGGTCATGTCTCACAGTTATAAAGGTGGATGGGGCGAATTGCTGGTGAGTGCATACGTCATCTGATCGATATCAAGATTTTACGTCTACGCCAGAGATAATGGCGTAAGTTGGTTGGCATATGCCATACGAGCCTTTCTTATCCGCTCTGAGATTTCGGCAACGATCAATCCGTTATTTCATATTAGTTTGTTTATTAGATATAGGCTAGGTTCGCATACGCTAGTTTTCGCCGTCTCTGGCGTAGACGCGATATCCGACTATCGACCAAAGGGCGTGTGTACTGCTCAACAGTCCGCTCCGTCCTCCTTTATGGCTGTGAGACCTGGCCATTGAGAGAAGAAGACATGAAAAGATTAGCTGTGTTCGATCATAGGTGTCTGCGTTCCATCTCCCGCGTGAAGTGGTATAATAGGGTGAGCAATATTGAGGTGAGGCATCGGTCGAGTGCTAGGTAAGGCGGGGAAATCATTCGATGAGACTGTGAAATTACATCGACTGAGATGGTTGGGACATGTGTTACGTATGCCTAGTCATCGCCTTCCTCGACAATGGGCACTGTTAGCTGATATAGGGCCAGGCTGGAAAAGAGCTAGCGGCGGTCAAACGAAAACTTGGCACCAGTCAATGAAATCCACAACAGTTAGTCTAAGTCACGTAGGGAGATGTAGACTTCCTGGTTGGGGTCCTCGGGACGGTAAAAACCAATGGTTGGAAACAATTGGTGATATGGCTCAAAATCGTTCTCAGTGGCGCAGATGCATCCACTCCTTGTGACTCATGATTTCCAATTGAACTGTTTTGTTCTCCGTTATTACTACTCCTTTGTCTCACACCTCTGTTTACTGTCTATATTATGCATTTCTCCTACTTTCTTCTCTTCCTTTGTGTGCTACAAGGAGTGGAGTGTGGCGACTTGAACTGCCGCACATATGTGCAAAGTTCTATGTCGAAAACAGACAGACAGATAATAGTAATAATAAGAAGAAGTGAGAATTCGTGACCAGTAGGGTGCAGCAGGTCGGGCGTGAGGACAAATACTCACCAAAGACATTGGCTAGGGGTCGCGCTATGTCGTGAATTGGCAGAAGTTAGAATTCATGAGCCACTGGATCGGGTCCCAGTGGCTGAATGGTATACGAGCTCGCCTTGTAACCAGAAGGTCATGGGTTCGAATCCCGGTGGGTGCGTACTGATGAAGAGTCCCAAACTAGGACGAAGGAAACAGCTGTCCAGTACTCCCAGGTTTTCCAATGGTTCTCTAACTAATGTCAGCCCATGATGAAAATCCTGTAATCATAATAGTAATAATAATAATAATTATTATTATGTTTTACGAGTTGATCACGGACTGATATCAGTTAGAGAACCATTGAAAACCAGGGAGTACTGGACAGCTGCTGTTTCATCCTAGTTTGGGAATCATCGGCATTATATCAGTCGGTGATCAACTCGTAAAACATAACTAATCCTTACAAACCAAACTATAGAAAATTATTATTATTATTATTTTCATTCTTCTCCGAGGTTCATTAGGTGAACGAACATACTGACGTCTCAATGAAAGGTAGTGTATACGCCCAATAAGATTCATTACACTTATCTAGAAAATGTATCGTAGTCATAGAATCGACGCAGAAAATAACTGTTTCACTGATTTCGAAATAATCTCAAACCCGGTGGTCAAATAGTCTACGAACTTTAAAAGGAATTCTTAACAAGGCAGGAATAAAAGTGGTTGGTATTCAAACCCAAATGTTTTAATAATAGAGCACAAAAACTAAGTAGCAATACCAAGGAAACTCTAAGACAATAAATGAGGCATATAAGAGAAGCTTTGAAACTTAATAATTACCCTGATAAATTAGTCAGAAAGTATGTGGAGAAATGTAAAAATAAAATAAATAATCACAGCAATGATAATAGTGATAATAATAATAATAGTAATGACGATATGCATGTCAAACATGCGCAAGACAACACCAACAATAAGGAATCTGTAACATCAATAGTCATTCCATATAATGATATTAATGACGACACCAACAATAAGGAATCTAAATCATCAGTAGTAATTCCATCCATACAAGGAAGGAACCTCGGAAAACTTACGGTGGAGAATACTTAACAATGCAGGCAGGAATAAAAGTGACTGACTGACATTCAAATCCACAAACTCAATTAGAAACAAGCTTTGTCGGTTAAAGGATCAATCCTGTGGAGCTAATTAAACAAAACAATTTAGTTTATCTAATACCCTGTAATGATTGTCAGGCCAGATACATAGGTCACAGTAGTGAAACGGGGTCAGTCATACTAGCAGAGTATAACAACCCAGCTAAATCCAGATTAGATGACCCTAATAAGATAATATGAAATCTGGAGAATAGTTCGGCTATAGTAGTCACCACATGCAATTACACACAACCATACAATGGGGTGAGGGGATAAGATGACAGTTTTAAAATCTAATGTAACAGGGTGAATGGAGGGAGAGATTGATGACAACGGAAGCTTTGTTTATTGAATCAACTGAAGAGAATACGCATAGTAGGAATGATTCAACACCTGTCCCAGACATCTAGAAAATTCTACTACCCCTACGACGACGAATAGGAGCGAACAAAGAAATCTACAAAACTCAAGTTTCGAAGTTGTGTGATTATAATTGATGATATCATTATGGACACGAATAAATTTTGTTCGAAACTTGGTCATCCAGTAAATAATACTGTTTCACAGTCTGTGTGATATATCTGTCTGTCTGTCTGTCTGTTTTCGACATAGAACTTTGCACATATGTGCGGCAGTTCAAGTCGCCACACTCCACTCCTTGTAGCACACAAAGGAAGAGAAGAAAGTAGGAGAAATGCATAATATAGACAGTAAACAGAGGTGTGAGACAAAGGAGTAGTAATAACGGAGAACAAAACAGTTCAATTGGAAATCATGAGTCACAAGGAGTGGATGCATCTGCGCCACTGAGAACGATTTTGAGCCATATCACCAATTGTTTCCAACCATTGGTTTTTACCGTCCCGAGGACCCCAACCAGGAAGTCTACATCTCCCTACGTGACTTAGACTAACTGTTGTGGATTTCATTGACTGGTGCCAAGTTTTCGTTTGACCGCCGCTAGCTCTTTTCCAGCCTGGCCCTATATCAGCTAACAGTGCCCATTGTCGAGGAAGGCGATGACCAGGCATACGTAACACATGTCCCAACCATCTCAGTCGATGTAATTTCACAGTCTCATCGAATGATTTCCCCGCCTTACCTAGCACTCGACCGATGCCTCACCTCAATATTGCTCACCCTATTATACCACTTCACGCGGGAGATGGAACGCAGACACCTATGATCGAACACAGCTAATCTTTTCATGTCTTCTTCTCTCAATGGCCAGGTCTCACAGCCATAAAGGAGGACGGAGCGGACTGTTGAGCAGTACACACGCCCTTTGGTCGATAGTCGGATATCGCGTCTACGCCAGAGACGGCGAAAACTAGCGTATGCGAACCTAGCCCTCTGTATTCGTGCTGATATTTCGTCTGAGATCAACCCGTTGGGTCTGATGGTACTTCCCAAGTAATTGAAGCGGTCAACGTGTTCTACCAGTTCACTTCCTATTTCTAATCTAGGGGTCGGTGAAGCCCAATCCTGCAGCATCATCTTACATTTTACAGGGGCGAATCGCATGCCAAACATTCGTAGATTGCAGCTCAAGGTGTTCAGTAGACTCTGCATTTTGTCAGAGTCCTCGCCTAGAAGGACTATATCGTCCGCATATTCTAAGTCAACGAGATTCTTCCCTGGTAGCAAGTCAATCCCTGAGTCGCTGAAGTGTGTTAGGGTTAAGTCCATTAGTACGTCTCTGATGAAGTTGAATAGGTATAGGAATAATGGGCATCCTTGACGGACGCCACTTGTCGTCACTACTTCAGATGACAACTCGCCATAAGCCCTCACCTGGCTGCATGAGTACGAGTAGAGTGCCTTAATCAGTGCAATGTATTTTCTCGGCATTCGCTTTACAGCCAAGCATCGCCAGAGAACCTCTCGGTCGACAGAATTGAATGCCGCCTTTAGGTCAAAAAAATATAATGATTGTCGGACGTCGGTAGGAATGCCTATGTTCTAGAATCTGTCGAAGGGTGAAGATGTGATCAATACACCCTCTACCTGGCCTGAAACCTGCCTGGTTTTCTCGTGTTTGTGTCTCCCGAGCACCACTTAGTCTACGCAGTATTATTGAGCCTAGGATTTTAGATACTATATTAGTCAAGCTAATGCCTCTGTGATTATCACAAGAAGACTTGTCTCCCTTCTTGTATATCGGGATGATCAGTGACTTACACCAACCCGATGGGACTTCCTCTGATTCCCAGACGCTGCCTGGAACCTCAGTTAACGCAGACAGTAAACTGTCTCCACCATACTTAAATACCTCTGGAGTCAATCCATCAGGTCCCGCTGCTTTGCCTTGCTTCAGATTAGTGGCTGCTCTAGTAACCTCAGTTAGGGACGGACCTGTGTCTATATTATGTCTATGTCTATATTATTTTATTATTATGATAATTTCCCAACCCCAGTTTACATAATCGCTTCTTTATTTCCTCTATTTTAGGTTTGTTTACCTTTTCGACCAGTTAATAAATCCCTTTGGTGTCAGTGGAAGTAAAGTGCTAAAATATTTGTCAAATGAAGAATTACGCACCAATACACCAAAGTCACCTTTCTTATATAAATGGTTTCGTTCCCTTGTCACTGGTGGCACCGATAGTCTGAGACATGTTCATCGATCCAGTGACACAATGCTTAGTATTGCTGAATCACCTGGTACAGAAACACTAGAAAGTAATGTTGACAAGTATCTAGCGAATTGGAAATTAGCTGAAGGCGATCAGGTATGCTCGTGTTTCTACTTTTTTTTATAATACTTGTGGTGTTGAAATAAAAGTTTTTTTATTTATTATATGGTTGAAGGCAATCGGCATTAGTGTCATGGTGGGCCAAATTGCAAACTTGACTGACGACACTAGTTAATGTCCAGTCGAAGGAATAAATGTTTACAGGATTTCATCATGAGCTGACGTTAGTTAGAGAGTCATTGGAAAACCTGGAAGTACTGGAGAGCTGTTTCGCCCTAGTTTGTGACTCTTCATCAGTATGCACCCACCGGGATTCGAACCCAGGACCTTCTGGTTACAAGGCGACCTCGTATACCATTAAGCCACTGGCACCCGATCCAATGGCCAGTGCATGAATTCTAACTTCTGCCAATTCACGTCATAGCGCAACAGCCAGCCAATGTCTTCGGCGAGTATTTGTCCTCACACCAGCCGACCTGCTGCACCCTACTGGTCACGACTTCTCACTAGAACCCCAGGTAACTACCTACCTGAATAGAGCAAGTCGCTAGTGAGCACCTCATTGATATTCAAGTGTTGGTTTGTAGGGATTTGGTTGATCGGTTACAGGATTTCATCATGAGCTGACATTAGTTAGAGAGAGAAAGAGAGAATACTTTTATTCCATACTATCATTATGACGATAATTATGCAAGGTAGTAGTAGTTTTCGATGTCATGTTAGGCGATAAATTCATGAATAATATTCTTTCTGAAGATTTATACTTTTACTAGAAAACAAGATCTTGTCTTCTTTTTTAATGCGAATTCTGTTCTCCTGTTTTTTTTTTGTAAGTTAAAAAGCAACGACTTGTCTTATTTACCTCAATCAGTGGAACCTCATAACCTGATTGATTGACTTTCCCTCCTTGCATAACACTATTTCTAACAGTACTCATTATCAGTTACCCTATGTTTCTATTTAACATGATTAATTAAACCTTCATTCACCACGTCTTATAAAAAAAGATGGTCAAACGGAATAAACTGCTGCTCCGAGCTTGTTACTCTCAAGCAAACTGGGTAGTCCCGTGTAAAGTTTATCCTTTACTTCTTTCTGTGTGCTCAGAGATCGCGTGTGATATTGAAGAGTACGAGAAAATATAGACGAGTATGGTGATGTTTCTTTTTGTGCTTACAAATTCATTCAGCAGACACCCACACCCACATGACTGTCCACTTAGATCCAGTCAAGGAGTAAGTTTTCTACTCGTGACTTCAATGCTATCCGTAAACCAACAAGTTGGCGTAAACTAGGCAAAGAATCTGCTAACATTCTGTATGATAGATTTCGCAGATTTAGCATATTGACCAGGTGTAGGTTAAGTTAATAAGAATAACTGGATATCAGTGTTTGTGTGTGTATAGCTTCGTGAAGGATAATCACTTCATTGGTTTCGAATCTATCTACGTTGACATAGCAAAAGGTATAAAGTAAGATGCATTATTCCACGTTCATCATTATGATTTATTCATTGTTCTGTGATTTTTCCTCACACAAATTTAGTTTGTTATGTTTTCTTTATGAAACAGTTCTAGAGTTCCTTTTGTGAGTTCCTACAAAAAATGTGTAGTGTGCATTTATGCAAGACTCATTTCGGACAGCCTGATCTCACACATATATAAGTATCATCAGTGAAACATTATCTTAGTACATTATTGGCACTAAGGGATGCGCCGCACATAATCTCATAGTTTGGGCGATGGCCATGAGACTGTCTGAATGCCCTGGACCGAAGCAGGTGGTTGTCTTAAAACGCCAACTCTGAGTCTTTCACTTGAGCTTTTGTTCATAGGGTTAGTGGTGTAGCGTCAGCATTTGCGTCCCCATGGTTCCCTGTGATGCAAATAGGCTCATTCGCCAGTTAAATCCTTTCGGATTCTGGGTCCCATATGTACCATAGGTTTGGAGTGAGGGGCTTTTCAGCTTGCCTAGATAGACCAATATGTCCACCAGTCTGCTTGTAAGTGACAGGAGTTCTTTTTTCACTATGGTGAGGAATACCCCGGCAGCGTGAAGGCAGTGAATAGGACTTGCCTCGCGTAGTCAGTCATTTCGAAAGGAAGACCAAAGTGTATTCATCCTCTGACGTATCAGGTCGTTTATCAGGGACAACATACATAAACACATGTTTTTGATGTGGTTGTGTTCTGTGAGCTGGATAGTTTATTTGAGAAGCTTTCATTGCCCTACTTACTAGACAACATCTTCAGCGCATACTTCAATTTGATGAAGTGACCTTCAAGGTTTCTCCACGAGTTTATTAGTCATCTTTCCTTGTGGGTGACCTTGAACGTGATTACTTGTTTTTGTGTGCTTTCACACCCTCTAGACTACTTATATTGGAACTGATTGTTTCCTTGACCTGAACTTTGACCCTGTGTGTGTGTGAGAGATTTCCTTCTTGTCGGTTGGTAAATTTTGTCTATCTCAGTATGTCTATTGATTGATGATTCACTGGAATGCCAAGCTTCTAAAAATTCTATAGCATTCTTGTTGTTTCCTCTGTCTAATATGTGAACGTTGTCCCAGTCGAAGTGATGTCCGTGGTTGTCTGTATGTAGTGATATGAGGGAGTGGTTGTCATGTCTTTTGACGATTAGCTTATGTTCATGGATACGAAGACGAAGGGGACGTCCACTTTGGCCAATGTAGTGTTTTTCGCAGTTGTTACGATTTATTTTGTAGATGATGTTGGTTTTATCTTCTTTCATTTTTGAGTCTTTTGATTGACAAAGAATTGAGTGAAGTGATTTTGTTGGTTTGTGTGCAACGTCAATTCCTAAAGGTTTGAAGAATCTTGCAGTGATTGCTGAGATGTCCATTATATATGGTAGGGTGATTTTCTTTGTACTTTCCTTGGGGACCTTTGGTTCGATAGGTTGGCTTGGGGGTATATGTTTTTCGATGAAATTCCGTGGATAACCATCATTTTGGACTACATGTATGAGAAATCTTTCTTCAATTTTCCTTAAGGTGGGAGTGCTGCAATGAGTCCTGGCCCTCTTGAATAGTGTTTCTATACAATTCATTTTAGAAACTCAAGTTTATAGAAAATCAGCTCACACAGACCAAATACTGAATTACAACAGCAACAATCCAATAACATACATCCTAGTTTGGGACTCATCGGCACTACGTACCCAATGGTTTTCGAACGCAGAACCTTCAGGTTAGAAGGCAAGCACGTATCCCATTCAGCCACTGACACCTGATTCACTGGTCAATTCAAGTATTCTAACTTCTACGAATTAGTAATTCTATCACGACCACCAACCAATCTCATTGGTGGGAACTCCATCCTCACACCTGACTGGATTGGCCTCACTGGTTACGACTTCTCACTAGAACTCCAGTGGATGCGTACTGACGATGATTCCCAAACTAGGACGAAACAGCTGTCCAATACTCCCTGTGACTGGTTTTCAATGGTTCTCTCACTCATATTAATCGCTGGTCTCCCCTGAAACAAATGCAATCCCTATAAATTAACTCTTGAAAATACATATTTGTATATATAATATATATTATATATATATATATATATATATATATATATATATATATATATATATATATATTATATATATTATATATATTCATATTAATAAGCCTAATTTATGCACCCAGAAGAAGTTAGTCCAGTCATTATCATTACCTTGGCCATCCAGGTTTGAATAATCCAGAATTTTGTGAAATTTCCCTAATTTTAGTTGATATTCTATCCGCTGTTATATCTTTATTATTATTATAATTTAAGCATCATTAATGAACTGCAATAGCATTGATCATACTTTACAAATCGATATTATTTGAAAAAACGCTAATATTGTTAATAACTACTAATTTAAAATATTCTGTGTATAAAAACATATATATAATTGTAGAGCCTGGAAGAGGAATTTATCGAAAAGAATATTCTTTGCTCGATTATTTTGTTTTTATAGATGTCTGAATGAACATTTTTGCAATATTGAAATCTTCTGAGCATCATTTTGCGTTAAAAGTACTCAACGAGTATTTGAAGTATAGCGCAAGGCTCGGCGAAGCAAAGACTTCTGTTGACTTTATCCACGAGTGCATTGAAACAAACCGGTACCCAAAATCTTATTGGAAATCTCTACGCCGTTGCAGAATCCGGCCTAATGATAAGACTCTTAAACGCCATGCACGAAACCAAATTGACTCAATTCAATTGAGTATTACTGAGTTATCTAAGAATGTGACAGAAAGGTTCTATGCGGTCGACGAATTACCAGAAAACCTAAAGAAACTATTTTTGGATTATGTGGAGGTAATTGTGAGCAATAGGAAAGAAAAGAAGCGCCTGAAGCTGGTACAGAGCCTAGAGAACAAGACACCAGAAACAAGATTTCCACCGAACCCAAATCGTTTTGTGTTTAATTTTTCAGATGTAATACTTAGTGATGTGGATCTACAGGTTTTATCGCTTGGCCCCAAATTTTGTGACAGCCATGTAAAAATCAACAAAATGGATGCACAAATTCAGTTCGAAAGTCTCTACACCCAAACGGAAGGCCTTACACCCTCATCAACTGAAGATGTTGAAAGATTTAAATCAACGCTGGTCGACTGCTGCTATTATTACATGAACAGTAAACGCAATTCAGATAGTATCTTAACCAAAAAACATAGAGAAGCCCTGGATACTCTCCGCAAAAATGACAACATAATAATAACAAGACCGGATAAGGGTTCAGGAGTGGTTATCTTGAACAAAGCGGATTACTTTGAGAAGATGAATACTATTCTTAATGATAATTCAAAATTCCAAAAAATCTCCTCTTCTCTGGATCCGGTTGAAAAGATAGAGATGCAGTTGGCGGAAACACTGAAAAGACTGAAACAACAAGGCTTCATCTCACAGAGTCAGTACACGTCACTTAAACCCACCGGAACGTTCACACCAAGACTATATGGCTCGCCTAAAGTGCACAAAAATGGTGTACCGCTACGACCAGTATTAGATATGCTAA